ATGAACCGCCCTACATATTGCAGTGGATCTTCAACAGTCAATACATCCGTGTGCTTTAAAAAAATCTTTGTGCTGTCAACTCCCTTAATGTTGTAAAGCTTTTTTTTTAAGCTAAAACTATCGGTATGATGTCTTCTGGCTTTTGTCCCAAGGATTTCTTATAAAACTAAGATAGAATCATCTTCTGTGTTGAAAGTCTTTCCTTCATTGTCTGATGGACTGCATTATGAAGCACAGAAATTGATGAAATTCTTTTAGAGATCTAAGCAGTACTTTTTCAGAAGCACAGAGCAGCTGTGCTACAAACTGCTGCTTCTAGGCTTTATTACAAGCCTGCCAGTATCATAAAAGCCATTGGTGACGTAAACGGAGCGTTGTTTATTGCGTCCTCATCTCGCGGGCGACGTTTCAATTACTTCGGCTCCCCCGCTTTTTGAGAACTTGACCAGCATAGAAAGCGGCACGTTCAAACGTATTGCGGCAGGTCCTGTGGGGAATAATGACACGGGACGTGCTGTAAAGAAAATTGTTCCTTGTTTTGCAAATTTCTGAGGGGGGGGGGGGGGGAGAGAGAGAGGGAGAAGTGACAAAAAAGTGAAATGTATCATCGAACCCCTGAGGATAGTTTACAAAAGGAAATCGAGATGTTTTTGTAGCTGGAAATGTATGCATTGTCGTCGCTAATGGATGCCTGAGTATCAGTAATAGTAGTAATGAATGCTTCTGCATGTAACCTTTTCCCAATACCCAATGAGTATGACGTCGTTTGTTTGTCTGCATGTAAAAGTTTCCCAAGTTTGACCAAAAACTTGCAAAATTATGACATTTTAAAATTGTACCAGAGTCAATGATCCATCTCACTTACAATGTAGCATGAAATTGCTCACTGTTTAGGAAATCTAAGATTAATATTGAGAGTCAGGTTGAGTGGGGAGTCGGGTTGGCGCAGTGGTACGGCCAGTTCATACGCAACTGCGAATTTGTGACATCACATCAAGTTGTTGCGCTGCTATTGTGCAAAAATGGAATACATGCCAACTCCGGCGAAATTTCATAGCGGTTATTTCATGACGTCCAATTCATTGTTAATTCATGTTCGTGTGAAGTATGAACCATTCTGTATATGTACAAATGTACTTTGCTTGCCTTCTACATGTGCCTCAGCGACTGGCGTTTAAATTCTACCCAAGCCTGAATCCATGAGTTTCTCTAGCGTTTTCCTTCCACATCTAAAACTGAAAATTATAAATTGTCTAAATTATAAATCTACATGTTTCTTCAGGCTTGCAAGCTTTGGAGGTTTTTGGTTTCATTACACAATACGTCAAATACACATGCACATGTAGCGTGGTCCTGAAGTGTGACTTAGTTAGTTTTGCCAGTTTAAGAGTTTTTTTGAACAGTTTTGTTCAACTGTGCAAACCAAACAAACTAGGAATAAAATGTTGTTTCACAACCAAGGTGAACTAAAGGAACTAAAGGTGGAAATCTAAAGGGAATGGAAATAGAAAATGCAATGGCTTAGCTTAGCCTTGATTGGACTTGTGCAATTTTTTTTGTGATACTTATTTTGGACAAAGCTTTTCAGTTCATATTAACTATTATTTGTCCTTTATGATTGAAACATATTCATTCTGCTAGAAATGTTTTTTTTTGTATTGGAGATTTAATTAGTCTAACAGTAACCATCTGTTTGCATTTTCAGCCTCAAAAATACATACTGTAGGGTGCTCTGTAGTTAAATATATACCCAGAGACAACAATGCAGTATCTAATCAATTGTTCCAATATAATGTGTGGCTATGTAGGAAATAGACCATGGATAATACTGTAGGTATCCTTTATGGCTATTACCATGGTATTGAGTTCCAGTGACCTCCTTTTACTGCATGTAGTTTGACTTTTAAAGGGAATTTACGACATTTGCTTTTGCTGCAATTCTCAGAAATAAATGGATTTGAAGGATTAATGGCAAATATTGTTAAACTGACTTGTTTCACGTTTTTGGCTTGCACATGCTGGAATTACCAAGAAAACCAATCATGTTCTTGTAGTCTGGCTCCCAGACCCCACTTAAGATGAAATGGGGCAATTTATAGACTTTAGGGAATCGTAAGGTCAAAGAATCATTCCAGCAGGCTTGTACCCCTTCAAAGGTGTGTAATTAATTGCAAAGAAAATGCGGAATAACTAAATATGAAAAATCAGGAGCAGTTTTTGAGAAAAAAAAAGATTTCTCCATTGCTGGTCGGCCCATCAGCGTTGGAAAAATACAATATTTCTTGAAAATGTCAGCACACCAGGAGCCACGATTTTACAGGATGCTTTAGACTGTCATTCCCTAACAATCCAGTAAGGTATTTGAGCATTTCGTTATTTGATGTTTGCAAGTGTTGTATCTTCCCTTTAATAACAGAACCTTGAAGCATTCTGCTCGCTTGGCTGTCTTGTCACAACCACTCACTGTTTCAGTTTCGTAAGCTAGCACTGTGAGATATTTGTCCAGATTTTTCCCTTTAACTCCCTATCCAAATCTTGCTTGCCTTCTACCTGTAAACTCCACAAATCATAAGACACGTATCTTCTATCGCTATGACTTCTTTCATTTCTTTTCCGTTCTGTAAGTTTTAAAAATGGTTCTTGGCCTTGTTTTGGTATCCATGAAACAGTATATTTTCATAATACTATTTCTTGATTTATTTCAACATACTCATTGTTGCTCTGCCATGTGAAAGAAATAGCTGGTGTTGTACAAGTAAAAATACAACAGCGAAGGGCAAAACACAATATAAAATTTACGTCTCCCCGACGAAAATTCCATCTTTTAAAATATGTGTATATGTTGGTTGTTCTTGTGACATGTAACTCAATGAGGCTTTGCTAACCGTGTTAAGTGCTCTCAATATTTACAAGATTTCTGTGAATGTGCCGGCAACATTCATGTAACAGACAAGGATCTGGACCTGAGGGCTGTATGTTGTAGTGAAAGCACCGCCATTCTGTCACCTCTTAAGAGCATATTTTGAAGACCGCCGCGGCCCGGATGCACAATTAGATCACGAGCCATCAAAAATCCCGACGAAACCCTAACCGACGTTTCCTCGGTCGGAGAGCTCAAGCAGTTCTGACGCAGGAAATTGCCTTCATTCCTGGCGCGTGCATGAGGGAAAAAAATGTGCAAGTGTTGTAAGTCAGCTACCTGTAGTTGCTGCCCAAGTGGCGTTTGGATTGCAGGCTTGTATTATTTGTCCCTCCTTTTTTTTTCTTTTTTTTCGTTGTTTTTCGTACCGTCGGTCAGACATTGCTGTGAGGGGTTTTCAAGAGTGTTGGGGAGATTGGCTTGCATCTCTGTTAAGGGATGAGATGAGCTCCTGTTACCACCTAATGGAGGTGGGAACATGGTCCTAAGGTGTGGAGCAAGTCATCCAAGGGGTGTAATGGAGAGGGAATGGCCCCGAGATGGGCCAAATGGGTGTTTGCTGCAATCCTGACGGGGAGGGAAAAAGTAGCCGATAGCTTCATGGCAACTATGAAAAGTGATCTCTTCGCTGCTGCTTATACCATGTTGCATCATAAGTTGGAGTGTGATACATGAGACCTGGCTATACAGAGTGGCCTCAAAAAATGGAACGGCATACTTTAGCTATCTTGAGACTCGAACAACCTACCGGTATACCAATGCATGGGGAATTCTGTTAAAAGAAAGATGATTCCAGAATTCTGTCCAGCAGTTTTTGCTCTAAAGCCTGTTTTGTGAAACAAAGTCGGGAGTCATTTTGTTCCGATGAATTACTAAACAGCGCCCTCGAATTTGACTTGCATGTAATTGGATAGAGGGATTAATTGTTAATACCCACGGGAAAGATGTGTGTTTCACAAAGTAGGCTCTGCAGCATAAACTACTGGACCGAATCGGGAGATTCGCTCCAATAGTTTTTGTTCTAGAGCCTATTCTGTGAAATAAAGTTGGGAGTCATTTTGTCCCGATGAATTACTAAACCGTGCCCTCGAATTCAACTTACTTAGATAGAGGGATTAATTGTTAATACCCACATGAAAGACGTGTGATTCACAAAATAGGCCCTGCAGCAAAAACAACTGGACTGAATCGGGAGATTCGCTCCAATAGTTTTTGTTCTAGAGCCTATTCTGTGAAATAAAGTCAGGAGTCATTTTTTTCCCAATGAATTACTAAACAGTGCCCTCGAATTCAATCGAGGAATTAATTGTTAATACCCACATGAAAGACGTGTGCTTCACAAAATAGGCCCTGCAGCAAAAACTACTGGACCGAATCGGGAGATTCGCTCCAATAGTTTTTGTTCTAGAGCCTATTCTGTGAAATAAAGTCGGGAGTCATTTTTTCCCAATGAATTACTAAACCGTGCCCTCAAATTCAACTTACTTGGATAGAGGGATTAATTGTTAATACCCACATGAAAGACGTGTGCTTCACAAAATAGGCCCTGCAGCAAAAACAACTGGACTGAATCGGGAGATCTTGATATCATATTTCTTCTAAAACGATTCTCCATCTATTGGTACAGGTGGTTTGCATCTCAAGGTAGACGAAGTAATTGTTTTGTTTTGTTTTATTTTAAGTTTATTTCAGGTCTGAAGACGGTTGCGTGAAGGTTTCCACAAACCCAGAGTATCTCGGGTTATTACCCTCTGATAATCCGAGATAACCCAGAGATTTTGTTGTGTGAAGTGAATACTAATCCCAATATTTAGCTGAGAGATACAATGTACTTATAGCAATCTGCCGTCATTTCATTAAAGCAAGACAAGAACTCTTTTCTTCCCCTTTTTTTGTAAAGAATATACTAATAATGATTGCTCCTGCTGAAACTGTTTCAAATAAATTTAGGTTGTTGCTGCAAAGGGCATACCGGTACTTTCTTTGCAGTACATTGAGGTGTTTGAAATGTCCAAAACTTACCATAGAATAACAAAGTGACTTAAATTTTATTCTACTTTGTTTTGTGCCCTTGCATTAGGTATGCAACTCAGTGGTGGATATGGCAGTCATGCAGGAGGCTCACGGCCTCATCATGGACATGATGGCCGACTCCAATCTGCCGCCCAACGTGGTCAGCGGGCTCAAGACAGTCAGTTCGCTCCTCAGCCCTCCGACCAGCTACAACACGCTCCAGCGGCCCAAGATCAGCCCCTTAGTGGCGCTGAGCGAGAGCAACTATGGCGCCTCCGATATCGATGATTCGCCCTACGTTGGGGACCGGCCGCTCTCATTACCCAAGGTAAATGGGGAAGGGGGGGGGCTGTAATACAAGAGCATTTTTTTGTCTTCGTTTTTTTTTTTTTTTTCTTTGTGGACTATAATTCTCCAATGCCTGAACTTGAAACTTGCTATGAACATCGACCCTGATACCCTTTCTTCCTGTCAATCAAACAGTGGGCGTTGACCAATTATTGCATGACTTTTGGTCAGGTGACCACGATAGCTTAGTCATACTCGGTCACAACGATGTCAAACTTTGTTGAACGCTACGCTTTCTTGTTAAGAGCCTGGTGAGGACTAGAGCCACCAAGCTCCCATAAGTTAGCCCACATGTGAATAAAGCTTGATGCCATCATGTCTTGCATCTATCAAGCACTGTGCAAAAGATACACCCAAAGGTGGGTGGAGCTTTCTGCCAAAGCTGGAATGCCACAGATACTATAAGTTATTCCGAGTGGAACACGGAGTGGAACACGGAATAATGTAGTACGTCTGTGGACACAGACGCACTACATTTTCATGTTACACGAGCGCGAGCGTGATAACGAATTTATCTTCAAGCAAACTTGACGCACAGTAAAGATGGAACACGCACGCTGTACACAAACTTTTCAGCAGTTATCCTATTGCACATGCGTGTTGTAGGGAATGGCGCTCGCATCTTAGAAAAGTGCAATACCCGGAGTGCGGTATGGACGGAGGCCGTGCTACATGGTTATATGTAGCACAGCTTGTTGCCATGGATCGACCAATCAGGATCAAGGATTCAAGTTTACTTGAAGATAAAGTGCACTGCACTACAGTACAGTTTGTCTCAATTATGCCACTTGTTGACATCACGGCCGACATCCTGAATTTATCCATCAGTTATTCACAAACATGAAATCTGTTTGAAGGAAAATGAAACAAACAAAAGGAGCAGGTTTATTTGAGAAAACAAACATATACGGTAAATATAACACATTTGTACATTGCATGTACATAAGCACTCAATTGTATAACATGTGTACACATAACCATTGCACCGCCTACACGATATTCTTGATTATGTTATATGCAAGGTGCATTTTGCAAATTCCTTTTCATTTGATGTGTACAGTGAATTTATTTTAAGATCAGCTCTTGAAATGAATGTTCACGCTTTACTGCTGTGCACTGCTGTGGATGCAATGTACAGCGTACTTTATCAAGAGTTCAGTGACTCCAGTTAAGACGTTTGAGCAAGAGAACATCTGTTCAAGTTTTAAAGCAGTTACAAAAAAAGAGGCAGGCCTTGTGATACATGAATCTTGTGGATAAAACTGATATGATTGAAGTCTGCTGAACTCAAACTCAAAATAATGTTCATGTGCCATATACGTGTGAATTAAAGGCACATAGGAACATTAGTAATAACCTGGAAATGAACCTACTGATTTAAAGGGAATGTACATCATTGGCTTTTGCTGTAATTTTCAGAAATGAACTATTTGGGGGGTTAGTTTAATAGATCAAATATTGTTACACTGACATGTTTGAAGATGAAATGGATCAAAAATACCGGAAAATTGTAAGGTAAGGGAATCAGTCTAGCTTGCCTGCACCCGTTCATGAACATGGAACCAATGGCTAGCAAAACAAAATTTAGACTAAAAAAAAAATGGTAAATTTGGAGCAGTAATTGAAAAATAGTTAGGTTTTTCCAACAGTGGTCGACCGACCAGCGTTGGAAATGTATACAAATATACCATTTTCTTGAAAATGGCTTCACACCAGGTGCCATAATTTTACAGGATGCTTAAGCATGTCATTTACCAACATCCTAGTAAGGTATTTCGTAACAACTTGGTAGTTTTATATTTCGATGTTTGCAAATGTTGTATATTCCCTTTAATGGAGGGCAAAACCCTTGCTCAAAAAAGTACTGGTACCAAATGCCCTGTGAAAGTATTCTGCCTGAAATGGTATCGCTTGAATGAAAGCAACAATTGAAGGTGGTTTTAAAAAGTGTGCCTGCAGGCACACTTTTTTAAATTTGACTTCACGTAAAAAAGGGTAAAGGGGGAGAACCTGTGTTCACAGGAACGGAGTGCCCATCTCTCTTTCGAAGCGATTGGGCCAGACTCGAGTCCATGAAATGCTGCTGTGGAATATAAATAGGTACTGGCATTAGCTGGGGAGTAACCCGCGATTGACTAGCATCCCATCCAGGGAGAATAGAAATACTCTCAGTCGTTTCATGCTACTGAAACTGGAGATAAACGCCACCCTGATGGGCCACATTGGCTCATGACAGACTTTACTCTCTTTATTTGTCTCTTTTTTTCCCTTTAAAAAAAATTATTGTCCCGCTGCCATGACTGAATGCAGGTGATGCAGTATTGAGAACTCTTCCTGATAATGTTTTATTAAAATTTAATGTATTTTCCAATATTAAATTATAAGTTTTCTTTGTCATATTGACCATGGACTGTCAGGAATAAGTTATTCCAAATGCGCACAAACCCAAAGTGTTGTAGTCGAGTCACCAATGTCGAGTCCCAGTCCGAGTCTCGAGTCACAAAACATCGAGTCTGAGTCCGAGTCTCGAGTCACAAGCCTCGAGTCCGAGTCCGAGTCTCGAGTCACAAGCATCGAGTCCGAGTCCCAGTCACGAGTCACTTGTTTTTTCAAGTCAATTTATTTTTCAATCATCCATGTTTTTTAAGTAAATCCCAGTGTATAAAGTTTACCTTGTGTGTGTACATGTTGTTTGGACCAAAAATGTGTTTTCCTTTTAATACTGGACACTTTTTGGCATGACACCAGGCCCTACTCATCGTGCAGGCGCTAGGTGTGCAGGCGCTAGGTGTGCATGTGCGGCCCCTGCAGGATACGATTTTCTGCGGCGCCGTGTTTTGTCTATGGAGTAATAAAGAATGCTACATTTGTACATTCGTCGCACAAATAGGCAACGTTATATTTTTCTTTTGATGAAAATACACGACTCGAGTCACGAGTCACCAAGCTCGAGTTCGAGTCATCATGGTCAAGTCCAAGTCATTTTCCAATGTGACTCAAGTCGTGACTCGAGTCCGACTCGAGTCCGAGTCCTGGACTCGAGTCCTACAACACTGCAAACCCATGGCATCTTTGCGTGAGCATCAGGCGTGTTCGAATGTCCCTCCCAGTGGTCTCCTCCAACTCTCAGTTTTTAACCGTTGAGGGGGTACTTGTGTATGGAGTCCATTGCAGGGATAATTTGGACATGGAATCCATGGAATACAGGAGCTGATAATAGATTATTTTTGTTTTATTATCCAGAGGTTAAGACGTAGTTTGCCACCAAGTCTCATACGACGGATGTCATCAACGTGGACAACAACTACCTCAGCTACAGGTTTGTAATCTTGCCCGAGAAAAAAAAATTGTTTGAAAACATTGTGGTGCAAAATATAAGCATTTGTAGGCTGATCTGTTGATAAGCTTACAGAGCGGAAATTAAGGTTATCAGCAGAGTTGGACTGGTAGTTTATCAAGATATGTACATGTACAACTATTTTCTTTTTAAAAATTAACAGACTTTCAAACCACTTTGCAAAAACCCAGATTTATACATGTAAAATGAGCATGTACATGTACGTGAATGTGTGGTGTGCTCCAACTGCGTTTGTTCTCTTCAGTATAGATGCTAGAAAACTAAAAGAATAAAGGGCTAGCAACTCAAAAAAGCTTGCAATTTTTTACAGAGACCTGCACTACTGTGCATAACATGTTCATAAAGTGTGCTCTTGCCCACATATCTGAGGGAAAGGGAAACGACATTCTGCCGAAATTCCGGACCCTGTTTGTCACAGAACGTGCCGGTTAGAAACCTTTGCTTCAGAGCAACAAACAGGTTTTTTTGAGGCTGAGGAGGAACGTTTCTGCAAACTTAATACCCATGCGGCATTGTATTGCACGCTTCCCGGTCACCAGATGCCCGTACTTGCTTGCAGGCATTTCAGCCCGGTTCAGTGCGTCATGCGCATCGGCGTTTCGCCTCTCTTTTATTACAACGCAGGCTCTAGCAAAGTGCACTTTCCCCAGGCTGTATGCTACAGATATCATTGTCCCATCTTAATAGATTTTTCTTTTTTACTGTCGCTGCTGTCTACAAGGCCCTTTTGTTCTAAGGTTTTGGGACTTGATCATGATGCAAAGCTGCCTATATCTTTCTTCATTCATTTTGCTTGATTGCGCATAACCTTTGCTTGTTGGCACTTTTTGTTTTCGTCGTCGGCGGCACAACTGCCGTCGTTCGATATCATGCAGGGCCGTGATGGTAACCCTCGTCCAGGAATCACTCGATCCATTAGTAATTAGGTACAAACCTCAGTTGGGATGTTTTGGCCGTAAGGCATGACGCAGGAAAGATGAAAGTTCAGCTTAAAGTGTCGTGTGGGTGTTGACTCATTGGCGATTCAGACCTTGGTGTTGCAGCCCCATGAATGCGGGGCATCTTGTTGCATCAGATTTTTCCCCCATTGCAGCAGTGTGCATCAATTGTGATGCTGAATCCAAAAGGGTCCTGGGTAATCATTCTAATTAAAACAAAAAGGCAACTCACCCAAACTGTCTATAATAATAATAATAAAAATAAAAATAAAAAAAATAAAGTATTTATAAAGCGCTTTTACAAAATAGACCAAAGCGCTGTACAACTACAAGAGAGGACTAGGAAGTAATGAATAAGAAACTTTTAAGACGTTTCTTGAAAATGGTGAGAGATGGGGCGTCCCTAATGTTGATGGGAATAGTGTTCCATAATTTGGGGCCTGCTATAGAAAAAGATTTGTCTCCAAGGGATTTTGAATTCATATAAACCAAGCTTTCGTGAACATTTCAGAAACAATTATCAAGAAAAGGATATGTTGTAAAGTACTTAGAAGCTGTATAAAGATGTCTTTCAGAATGCGACAATCTTATTTTACAATATAAGTGCCTATTTTTTCCACATTTTGTTGTTATGGAGTTTCATCATTGAGTCACACCAGTATTGTTAGTGTTAATTTACAATGTCGTAATACATAAAAATAGCATCTTCCATCATTGATGTCCATGACTTTGAGTTGATATTCATATGAATATTGATGACTCTGACTCGATATTACATGATTATTTATGACTTAGACTGATATGCACATGATTATTTAAAACTTAGACTGATATGCACATGATTATTTATGACTTTGACTGATATGCACATGATTATTTATGACTTTGACTTAATATTCACATGAATATTTATGATTGTTTTGACTTGCTATTCACATTTTTGACATTCTAGCTAAGGAGAACATGCGAAATTTAACAGGCGATCACTTGAGGTTTAATGAGGTTGTACAAGGTACCTGTTATTACCACTTGTTTAATGTTGTATTTTCCTTAACACCCCTGACCACAACGTATGTCCTGTCACTCACGATTCACAGGTTATTTCATCTCAATAAATTGTAGTCTCAGTTTACGTTGGTCTGTTTTCCAGAACATTCACACAGGTTCTTTCATTGTCCTTGCGTCATAGTCAAATCAGGTTGAAAACAGGTACACGTACCTGTCCCCAAGAACATATTGAACATCAATCACCTTCAAACAACAAATTTCATAATGAAAGCATCAAATTTAAATGACAAGAAATTTAGTATCTCCAATTCCCAAATTACCTTTACAAGTCTTGAATTTTTTGTCCTACTGCAACAGACCCTATTCAAGTGATCCTCTATCAGTCAGTGGCAAACTGTTTCTTTGTTACGTCGTTACTTTTTAAATGTTTTTGTCTTTATGTGTGTTGCCTACAGGCCTTCCAACTCTTGAGCCACAACCTCTACGTACGCGGAGCTCCTCGTTCCGCCACACCCGGGAAAACAATAACTCAGCCACGCCCAGTCCGTCAGGTAGCCGATGTAGCAGTCCATCCCCAATCGCCCAACAGACCAGTGCTAGCTCGGCCAAGGGCCGTTCCTACTCAGTCGGGACTGGTGGGGTCAGCCCTAGGGGGCGCTCTCCGAGTCCGCTGCTGTCGCTGGACTCGCAGAAGTCGCTGCAGACCAAGTCGCTGGGGCCACGGCAGTCGCTGGGCTTGATCAGCCAGACGGACGATGCCGGTGCAAACTTGTTGGGGACGGTCGAGGGCGGGCTCTCGCCAAGCTCCGAGGGGGAGTATAGCGAAGAAGACGAGGCATCTAGCCATCAGGAGATCCTGCCAGGGAGCCCGTTCGTTCCTGAGTTAGAGCAACAGCACCGCGACGAAGACGGAAATCTCACGGAAGACTCTGCGTCCAGCCCTCAAGAATCCACCCCCGCTGAGCAGTTTACGGACTCTGACGGCAAGGGGGCCAGAACAAGTACACCCCCAGTTTCCACTCAGAAAAAGAGGGGTAGCGTGACAATAAGTGAACATGTGACTGTAATCGATGATGGTCACTCGAGGCTGGTACCAACTGATGAATGCGATGCACAGACTAATGGAACATGTGAAGGGAACCAGGTATTGGTAAGTGACCAAAAAAAAAAACAACAACAAAACAAAACAAATCTGACAAATAAATCAAAAGCGGTCTTTCCATTTCCTATGGTAAAGTACATGTACATCTTTGGGTGTTCTAGTTAAACCCTAAACTGTAGTAGATTATTAACTACGGTACTACTGGTGCAGCACAACAGTAAACAAAATCTTTGGTTAAGTGTTGTGTTGAAATTGTTTGTCTTATACTGACACTGCAAGATTGTGCAGCCATCACCAAACTCTGTACCCTGCTACGGCCATGAACTACCTGTATATCGCAATATACCAAATAACCCTGCCACAATTTTTTCTTCATTTGCCATTACCGTCAAGACACATCTTTCCTTATTTTTCTTCGACATTCACTCCTTGCAGCCCGAGGTACACATACAAGAAGACTCCAATAGCGTATCGTCAGAGGACTTTGATCCGACGTTACAGGAATGTCAAGAGTACCTTCAGAGGTTGGACGAGTGGGACTTTGCCATCTTTGAGATGTCCCAGACATCCCACGGCCAGATCCTTAGCCAGGTAGTCCTCGGGGGGTTCCTTCCAATCCTCGTCATCATCTTTGGTTTGGCAGATTTTTAGGCGATAGTGCAGTTCAGGGCCCTTCTTTCGTTTTAATCCTCAGAGTGTTTGTATTATTCCAAAATGACTTCTGCACTTATAAGTAATCATCTTTCAATTCAAACGACCCCATCTTTTTTAGTAATTTTGAAGAGTATCTTTTGTTAGAAAATGTGATTGCTTTATGTATTTTTCAGCTGATGCCATGCAAATCCATGTGGTTTTTGGCAGTCTGGTACAACACAATGATCGCCAACGTGTTGTCGTCTTCATCATTGTTTTGCCCCACAATTTCCCTCAAAAATGAAAGAGGTTGTGGAATGCTCGAAGACATTTCCGTCATTTTTCGGGTATATGTAGCCTAAGGTGTGATGAAATAAAAACGACTATTGTGTCTGTCATGAAATGAGTACAAAAGGTACTTTTGAGAGCTGTTTTTCAGGTCCTGTTTCGACCCGTAAAAGTCGTCGTTGGGGGCAGCAAACAAAACATAGCACATTGTGACATTATAAACAGGACTCGTTTGTACTATGCTGCATCAGGAGTCCTGTTTATTACGTCACGATTTACTATGTTTAGTTTGCTGCCCCCAACGATGACTTTCACACAAATTGCAAGTTCGGGTCGAAATAGGACCTGAAAAACAGCTCTCAAAAGTACCTTTTGTACTCATTTCATGACAGACACAATAGTCGTTTTTATTTCATCACACCTTAGGCTACATATACCCGAAAAATGACGGAAATGTCTTCGAGCATTCCACAACCTCTTTAAAAAAAGAAAAGAAAACCTTTGTCGTTTATTTGAAATTTTGATTAAAAACAATTATTGCACACTTTTGGCAATGTGCATTTCACATCAAAATGTTAAAATACAAATAACTACACAAAATGGTTAAATAACCAGGGCTGCCAACTTTGAGTAAGAGGTGAGAGTGAGAATTTGGCGATAAATCTTGACCAGAAGTAATGCGAGCGCAAAGCACGCAGCACTAAAGCGTGGGGAAAATATTTGATTATCGACACTCTGGATTGGGGCCCGCTTAAGGGCCGCGAAAAATATTAGATTATAGACTTTCTGTGGTGCAATCTGACCACTACAATTTCTGACAACTTTAACAATTTGTTTTTAGCAAAAGATCATCATTTAAACATCATTTTTCAAGTTTTATATATATATATATCTTTTTTTTAGCGTGAGAAATCCGGTGTGGGCGTGAGAGCGTGAGAATAACCTGAAATGCGTGAGTCTCACGCTCAGTGCGTGAGAGTTGGCAGCCATGTACAGCGTGTGTCAATAAAAACGCAGGATTAGAAACAAAAATATTAAGAATATAAACCACCCCTATTCATCATAATGTTACCCCTCTTTTCAAAGTACCTTTCCTTCTCTTCACTATGCTTTTTATCCCATCTCATTTGGACAATCCTGTCCAGAGATAGAGTACATTGAAGAAGGGTTATAAATTCCAAGCTGGTCTGATTTGTGAAATCACACATACCTAATGAAAGGTTTGAATTCAGTACAGGTGAAAGTATTTGTGGATCACAAAGAAGGACATGTGTGGCAGGATTAGGCTTACATAATCCTTTAGTCCACAATCAATGTTATTGGTCAATAATTCATGATGCTTTGAAACAATGATAGTCCAGTTATTAAATTTAAGTGATACTTATCATCAGTTGTTTCAAAGAAAGTTTTGTTCTGGTTTAATTGTCTTCAATGCATACCTGCATTGTACATACATGTAACTGGTCGTTGTGTTAAGGTCATTGAATCAGACCAACCCGCTTCAGAAGGGCTTCACAAAACTTGTCATAACTTTTGAACCAAAAGTCCAAATTCCACCAAACCAAAATCTTGTCAAAGACGAAATTATGGACAATCAAATCCTTATCAAATTAGGCACACCAGTAGCATAATTTTCTCAGAAAAAAAAATCGCTTTGAATCCTGCGTTTTTATTGACACACGCTGTATAACCATCTAGTTTTTCCGAGTCACATACATATCCCGTACCCGCAAGTTAAACTCCATTTTTCTTACCTCTACTCGATAACTGTGTGATATGCCTAAAGCAATGAAATGAACACTCAACATCAATAATGAAATAATGATAATGTTACACAGCGATTGAGGGATATAGCGTTCTTGTAAAATATGGCTCATAATGCTGCATAATACCGGTATGTATAGATCTCATTCTACTGGAATACTTTGAATATTGTATTGCATCCCACAGGCAATATACAGTACAGTCAAAACAAAACATGCAGATTTCTTTTCATGAATAATGAGTGTTTTCCTAAATTCGTTGTTACTGGATGTAAATGTAGGGTTGTTTTTGATGAAACACCAACGTGATGAAATAGTCGTGCCCGGTCATATGAAACTCCATAGCTTAGACCGGCAACCATACAGTGGAAACGCTTTAGGGTCAAATGTTGGCTAACCCTCAAAGCAGAAAGGATTATGTGGGTTTTTGTAAGGGGTCCTGAGCCACTTGTTCACAATTTTTTTTCACAAAAGTGAAGCATCTTTTCTTTTAAGGTTTCTGCATACGTGTACATGAACGTGTGTAATTTAGATGGCTCTTAATGCACATTCAAATACAAGATTCATACATTACAAAAACTTTCATCAACTGTACGTTATTGAACATGTAGGGGTGGATGTCAAAAATTCTGGATCAATGTCACAGTCAAACTAAAAGCAGCCCTGCAAACCTTGTTTCCCTATGGCCCCACAAATTTGACGAGATATTGAAATTTACATGTACCCCCAGACCTGAGATTTGTAATTAGTCTAAATTTCAACAAATACCTCTAAATTTCAAAACTTTTTAACCCAAAACTGAACACTTGGATGGAAAAGTAGTGGATTTTGTAATTCATATTTATGCATGCAGACATGGCAGACGGGTTTTTGATGTAAATGGCTATGCACAGTGAAGTTGGATTTAAGAAAAGTTGACTACAGGGATCGATCTTGGTCGGCATTGAGGGGGGGCACATGTTACACGATCCTGGTTGTTTTTCTGAAATTTAAGCAGTTCCAAATTACCCTCAGGCATTGAGGCTAAATCTGCATTTTTAATTCATTGGCGGACAGACCGTACTGGGATCATACATGTATAATCATATATTTACTCTTGACTAAAAGGGAAAAAATACCTGTGAAGATTTCATTTTTAACTAGATTTACTGAATGAAAGTTCGTAAATTTTTTGTACACAAGTATACAAAAAGGTTAACACACTTATCTATGAATTTTCTATGAATTTACTCCAAACGGTGCTGACTTATGTACTTATTATCTTGAAGCAAACTTGAATCCTCGATGCTGATTGGTCCATCCATGGCCATCCAAGATGCGTGCGCTATTCCTGCTGCACCCGCGTGTAATAGAGCAACTGTTGGAAAGTTCTTTTACAGCATGCAAGTTCCATCTTTACTGTGCGTCAAGTTTGCTTGAAGATAAATTCGTTATCCAACTCATGCTCGTGGAACATGGAAAATGTAGTGCGTCTGCATTCCACATACTGTACTTGGCCTTTGGCCTCGTGGCATGTGGGACACAGACGTACTACATAACATTATTCCGTGTTCCACTTGAACTTGCGGTATAACTAATAATGCATCACCTTCAACACCTGTCCACATTGTTTTAATTCTGTCTAAAAGGCCAATAATTTTGTAACAAAAGTTTCCTCCTGCATAAGAAGTATGTATCATTGGATAATTCAGTTTGCTCTTTACAGCCTTGCAGTTCTTGGTAAATAAGGATAGTCACATTGTGAAACTGCAATGCTTTTGACTTCACTATGCTTTCATATGTGATGCGATCAAGCTACATGAGTTCTTTGTCGACCCTGGTCAAAAATATTTTTATTACAGATTTCATAAGAGCACAATCTCAGTATTACTGCTGTGAAACCTGCATGCTGATACCATCTTTAGTTTAAAAATTATGGAAGTCGGAACACCAAAAGATGTGATGAAGTGATGTGATGAAGTGGCCCTACCGGTATTTTGGCCTGCATATCCACATAAAAATATCCGACAAACGACTCATTTAGCTTGATCGCATCACATATGTTGTCTTGTCTCGCTAATACAACTATTGTAAGGATCTTTACAAATTCCGCAAAGCGTCCCTCAAAATTGTTCTTCCCAATATTGCATCATGTCCTCCCATCAATCAAATTTTTTTCTAAGAGCAGTGAAGATACTCCACCTGAACTTACTTTGTTGCGTCCCTCACTCCCAGGTTGCCTACAAAGTTTTCACCGAGGCTGGCATCTTTGAGACGTTCAAGATACCGGTCCGAGAATTCATGAATTACTTCCAGTCATTAGAGAACGGCTACAGGCATTTACCATGTAAGTACCCACGGCTGTGCGAGATTCAAAGAATCCGGCTAAATCTTGTGGTTCTTCAATAGATAATGAAAGGTTTGCGGAAACACCATGTGCGAATAATTTCTCAACTAAGATAATGGTTCTGAAAAGAACCAGAGGTATAAACTCGACATTCCGGTCAGTATGCTCTGACCGTCTTCAGGAGAATGCCTAAACTCTAAGAAGGTAAACACTTATGGATTTATATGAAATGTACATGTATGTACGTACCTCTGTCACCCATTTGCAACACAAGGTACAGGTTTTCTGAGGCTAGAAACAAGGCTTCCATAATCAATATCGTACAGGCATCGTGCAGTTTGAAAAAAAAAATGTTCGTAAGTGACGTGCAGGAGATAGGGCGTGCAGTCTTTGAAATACACACGCAGCATGATCTGAAAAGCCGGTCAGCGTCGTTTTTTCATGGGTAAAGCCGAAAAACCTTCACTGGGAAGAATTCTGAATGTTTTTGGTCACAGGTTTTTCAGAGCATTTTGAAATTTTATCTCTGTTTTTTTGCCTGGACGTTGACTTCTCCTAAGAAGCATTTAAGTATGACAGTTAAAAAATTTAAAGCAACAACACACTGGATTATTCAGTGAAAGTTATTGTAGTTACAGTATGATTCTACAGTGCATCAGTTATTTTGTATAAAAACAGAAAACTTTGTAAAAATATGCCAGTGATCAGTCAATAAAAGTAACCTCGTGTCTCCTGTGCTTTGCTATCACAAAATCAAGAGAAGGGTTTTGCTGTGAATGTAAAAATAAGACCAACATTTCTTAACTATTGAGATCGTATTAGGCACACCCCTCAATAATAAATAATCCCTTTTTTCTGTACAAACTACCAATATATAATGTACATTGCAGGGATGTTTTGCCTGAAATTCATTTTTTTTAAATCAAATTTTTTAGAAAGATGTCCTTTTCTGAAACGAGTACATTCTCATTGACAGGCGTTTACAGTTGAATATAGAAGGGATAATGTATGTAAAATCGGTTGCGATGAAACTAAATGACAAGGCCACAGAAGACAAACAAGACTTTTTGACTGGAAGGCCTAAACATCCGCAGGGTGGTATATCGATAGTCCGAGTCTGGTTTCCCGTCCCGTCAAGGTGCAAACTCATTTACTGCCCCGCATCCCATCAGAGAGGGCAGACAGAGATGTTCTGCTCCAACCCCCTCCCCCCTTTACTTCATTATATCATCATAATCGGGTGCACAGTTTCAGGTGCGATAACACTGTCAATATTCTGGCAAATTAATATCTGTCTGCTCGGTGAACGTCCCTCAACGTCTCGGTTTCACACCGTGAGGGGGGAGGGGATAGTCCTATCCATCAGCCACAGTTCACTGTCTGCAGAACTTTTTAGTCAGTATATTTCTCCAATGCTGAATTCTGGGTCTCAACAACGGGCATTGACCAAGAGATGCTATCATTTTTGAGACGCTAATGGTTGAGCGTTTGTTCGGTGACCCAATTTTTTTTGGTTTTTGCTTTTGCAGAGAATTGAGAATTTAGCGGGAAAAAGGACCCAGTTTTGTACGTGACCAAGTCCGACTTTTTTTCCCCTTTGAAAGCCTTTGGGTATTGATGCTGGATATTTATGGTGACTTTCGACATTTAATCATGCATTTCCCCCTTGGCTTCAGGTTCATTATCCTCTTGAGATTCAAGAAAATATTTTATTGTTTTTTTGGGGTGCTTTTTAACCCTCCTGCTGTCTGAACAGTCACAGACAGTCAAGAAAAAATCAATCATCTTCCCCTGCCATGCCTTTTACACAGGCTAGTCACCAACAGTCAGATCATATTTCAAGCAAGCACTATGACTAGTCAAATTCAGTCTTACAGACAAAAGCAGGCAAGTGGTAGGCACACCTGGCTTATCAATCACCTACAGTCAAAGCATAGCTGTATCAAGTTACATAAACAGTCACAGCCAGTCAGTCCTGATTTATGTAGGCTGGGAGCTCTTAACTGTTAAAAACAGTCACTTGATTGATTTTGACTGAAAGGGCAACTTTTCACGGAACGTAATGTTTGCATTCGGGGTTTTAATGAACATAAATTGTATGAGTCATGGTGAATGAAACAATTGTTTCTTATGAAAAGCGCAATGGGGATAATTATTAAATGAAATTCAACAAATAAATTAACCCCGATTAGTCCCTGTTCCACCCCAAACCACCCTGCCTGTTACTCCTACTAACACCCGAAACTGCCTGAGCACTTTTATGGATTCATCAGGGAATAAATACAATGTCATACAATGTTGTGCAGTGGCTAATGGGTAAAATGCCTCAATATTATAACCTTCATTTTCATGTACATGTAAGCTACCTGGAAAGTGTAACCATTGGTTCATTTTTCTTGATTTGCACGTACGCACATCACACACAAAATCTGTTTGCAGTTTGTACCTGCCCAGCACAGGAAATGGCCCTTTACTTCAATTTGGCGTGATAGGTCGGGCGGCCTATATTGGCAGGAGGGTAATCTTCCCAGCAAAGTCCATTAGTTGATTACCAGTAAATCATTTGCTCCTTGAGTTCAAAATTGCTTTTAGTGCCTGCCGCAAAGGCGCAAACATGCCCCAAGGTTTGGGGGGGGGGGGGGGGGTTCTTTTGCGCCCCCCAAAAAGAGAAGAAAACAGAAATTGCTTAGAAGCTTTTACAAGCCTTCCCACTTTTCAATCAAGGGCAAGTCGTAAAAATCTCTCTTGATAATTAGCCATTTTTCTTTTTCCTTTTTTTGGGTTGTCTCCTGCTATCTGTTGGTACTGTGTACTCATGCAAATGAAAGTTGAATTCTGGAAGAGACAGCATTCTTGCCGCTGGCATGTTGGCACGGCAACAGTGCCATCTCGGATCAACATTAAGAAGCTGACATGGCTTGCTTTCCACTTTGCCAACGTTTGCAAATGATGCCCCATTAGATATGCAGAAAAGACAGCGAACATTCAGAATATTTGCGGGAGTGGAAGCAGCCCAGGCCCCTATGTGCTTTAACAAGTGCTGGTACCAGCAATTTGTTGGATGTGGTTCGCGCACATATTGAGCAGAGTACCAGTGATCAACTGTCGTGTGCTTGTGCACAAACCAAAAATTAGCTTTTTAATGAAGTGACGTTGCAAAAAAAAGGCAGCAACTGTGTACACGTACACCACCCACAAAACTCATACAAAAACAATACATTTGCCCCCCTCCCTTGCTTTTCATATTAAATTTGGGGCAGAAAACTTTTCGACCCACTTTTTCGAGGAAAATTTTCACAGACAATATGTATGCATGCACATGTAGACTTGTTTGAGCTGGGTCTGTTTTCATAGTCTGACATCATCGGTACCATCATCGTCAAACCGGTGTCATATGAAGTTTGGACTCCCATGAAATCTGGTCTCTTTTACCTTATAAGGATTCTAACCCTCACCTGTCACAGTCCCAATAAACTTCACTTAGGCATGTGCAATGCAACCTAGGAGTCTGTATTTCATAGCGTCAAATTTTCACACTAGACTCGGGTAATGGAAAATCAATTGCACACACAGTGTTCTGTGTGATATATTTCTGAGGTGCCTTGAGAGTCTCGTAAGTAGACCACTCAGCACTCTCAACAATTCCCAAATGGAGCCCGCGACAACTGAATGCCAAAGACGGAAATGGGTAGAAGGATAGGGAAGAAAAGAAACGAGCAAGCGAGGCATGGAGACTAGGCAGGCAAACTAACAAATGCACCAACAGACTTGCAAGCAAATCATACAGGGGAGCAATCAATCCATTGAGAAAGCAATCAAATCATTTAACAAGCAACAGAGAAAGTTCTTTACAGGTCCCGAAGGGGCTAGCCTACACAGGGCGGTCCAAAAAAAGATTACACCTTTTTCAGAGGCAGATTTCTCAAAATTGAAGAGAAATGTTGAAATTGTTTTAAGATATTCCCAAACTACAAGAACTTGGTCGTATATGGTGAAAACGGCATTGAAAATAAAGCTCAAGTTAAGAAAAAGTGGCCATTTACAGAAGAATGGTCCAAAACTTTGTCCACATCTATGGCAGTCATGTAGACCTAATTACAATTATTTCAGTGCGCGCAGTGCTATTGTGTTGACTATATCTCATAGACTTGCATGTGGACAAACTGGTTTATGTGTTGACTATATCTCATAGGCTTGCATGTGGACAAACTGGCTTTTGACCATCTTTCTTTAAACCATTGATATTTCTTAATTTTGTAAAGGCCACATCCATGAAAAGACATCCAGTGAATAGCCATTCAGAATCGTTTTGATAGCATTTTTGTGCACTCTGGGACAAGATATTACTACGCTTGCCTTGTCATATTTTAAGTAAAAACGTGTGATGAGGAAATGATCAGACTTCTATGAAAATGACCAATCCGGCAAATAGATGCATGTAGAAATTTCACTCAATTTCCAAGATGTACAACGAAAAGCAGAGTTCGACCTTAACTTTTTTTTCACTAGCCAGCCAGGCTACTGAAACAGACTCTTAACTAGCCCGCGGGCATTTTCACTAGCCTGCATGTTTTTCTTTTATAGAGTGTCTCATACACAACAATGTGCATACATGTAAAATGTGTATCCTGAGGCAATCTTGTCAGTGTCTTTAACAAACAGATCTAATAATTTAACCCTAAACAGTTAATGAAATTAGGCACAAATTGACACAGGTCTGTTTTTTGACACGACAGCCGGGCTACTTAAGGAATAGTTTGACTAGCCTGCCGCTGTTTTGACTAGCATTTGGCTAGCGGGCTACCGCTAAAGTCGAACCCTGACGTAGAGTAGGGCCTAATTTTAGGAGCTATACACAAACTTTAAAAACAAAGAAAATAGTGCTCAGCAAAAGTATTCTGCGTGTGAAAATGTGACGCGATATAAATTGCTTCCGATTGTTCTCTACTGGTTTTTGCTATGATATTTGCTGCTAAGCAGCCCAGCTCTGTCATCAAAGTTTTTGCATTGTTTGATTTTTAAAATAACTGAGAGCAATGCCTTTCTTTTCTCTCTCTCTCTCTATCGCCCCTTCAGACCATAATCGTATCCATGCTGCCGATGTGCTTCATGCAGTGTACTACATGTCCACACAGCAGATACCGGGCTTCAGGCAAGTCAACCCAGAAGACTTGGATCCCCATTCAAGAACGGGCAAAGGTTGGTCTTGCTTTTATTTTTTTGAATTGAAGTCCCCCACTACAAGGCTGAAAGCCACTCAAGCTTCAAATAAAGAACAAAGATGGACAGCCGGCTCCTGTACCCAAAACGCAGACCTGGGCAGTGCCAGTAGAGGTACATGTTAATATACATGACCTTACCTGAAAGCATCCTCAAGGGACTCTTAATAGATCATGTTCAATGAAGAACCACTTCATCAACGACAAGTGATCGGACAGATGTAACTATCATGGGTGTTGCGAGGGGGGGGGGGGCAAGGGGGGGCACTTGCCCCCCCCCCCCTGGAAAAGCAAAAAAAAAAAAAAAAGAGGCGCGAAGACAAAGTGGTGTAAATTTAATGAGTTGGGGGGGGGCAAAATGTCCCTGCCCCCCTCTAAAACTGATAAATCGAGAATGTATTGAGAAATACAAGCATTTTTTTACAAAATTTTTTTTTTGCCCCCCTCTAGAAAAAATCCTGGCGACGCCCATGGTAACTATACCTCTACTACCACAAGTATTGGGGAGTGGGGTTTCCAACTTTGGCTCCATTATCATTTTTAAGACTTTAATTTTAAAACCAAATCGAATTATCTAAATACTACCCCGGTAGCCCGACAATGTAGTATTTAATGTTCCTGAAGCTGAGAACATGAATCCAATTATGCAGTTCCCCATATTAGGAGTTTAAATCTTCTGGAGCGTAGACGAGGTTTGAAAAGCCCTCTGCGGGATTACATTTCCCACAGGCCTGGCTGGAAAGTCTTGGCCCGCTCGTCCTCAGGCCTGCCCGGTTGTCAGTTCTCCTCAAACAACAGATACAGAAGACACTTAACAGAAAACAGCTCCCGGCATTTAGTTCCGAGGGTGTAGGCTTATTCGCTTAGTCCGAGGGTACGCTTATTTACTCATGATTACTCAATTCCTGTACTGACCTGGGACGTTGAGATGATGATAATGAGCTTCATGAGCAGATCTTCCCCTTCCATGTTCAAGGACTTGAGAGTGTGATCCATTGAGTTCGACATTGAACAAGTAGGTCATGCCTGATGACTTTTGTACAGGACATGTCGGCCCAAGAAAGCTGGGGCCACATGAATGGATTTAAGGGTGGATCCTCCCAAGGAGTGCTTTGAATTTAAAACAAAATCTGAGAGAACTGACTAGACTTAAGAAATGGTGAATCTTCAGAGGTGGGAAACATGTACCTTGCCTGTCACACGAGCCCTTGCACCTGGTCACGCTGTTTGATAATCTACGCATAAATACCTAAGACAGTTTACCCATTCCTATTGGTCTTAAACGGTAGATAAAACACCAGCTGGCTGGTCTTACACACTTTTCCAGTGTCACATGAAATTGGGACTCCTATGAAATCCGGTGCCTTTTACCATTTTATTGATTGAACATTCACAGTCCTCACGTAGGCATGCGCAATACTACCAGTTAGTCAGTATTTCATAATCCTAAATTCACACTACACTGGCACAGCTACGTTCTGCGCCACATCGCGCAGTACACGCGACGCACGTGCCAATCTCCATATCAGGAGCTGTTTACGACTACTCACAAGAGGGATGGATAAGCCATAACATAGCTAGAGGGGTGCTTTAAAAAACATGAAGTAAAATAGTTGAACAAAATCGTTGTAAATTTATAATTGTTGACTTGTTGTGACCGAAAAGGTATTCATGAATTCTTTGAGGGTCATTATCAGCATCCAGACTCCAAACCGGTCTTACACATAGTGTTTAAAACTGGCCAAGCACAGATGTATTCCCTTATTAACAAGACAGGGCAAACCAAGTAAAAATGGTCCCAGAGAACACACAATTCTATTCACCTGATTTAGAATGGCTACTCACTGGAAGTCTTTTCATGCAGTTGGTGTACACCATGGGCTGGATTTAGCCCATTAAGGGTAATTCCTGTACGATATCACTGCAACATCCAGGCCAAGTCGCATGTCAGTGATGACAGTTAGTCAGGTACAATGAGGCTTGCCCCTTTTGGACTAGCAAAAACCAAATCATAGACTGTTGTTGACATTGTGGCATGCATTCAGTAAGAAGGGAGCTACCGGTACATACGTACCACGTATGTTCATAGCCTATTGCCGGTGTAGTCACTTGGGGATTACTTGCTGCACATGCGCAGTGTGAGACATCCACTAGTCTTCGCATGTTGGCGACATTTTACCAACATATTCTCGCACTATGGTGGCATAAAATGTCCAAAATTTCCATTATGTGGGTTTTCCCAAAGTTATACCCCGAAAAGATATACTCAAAATAATTTTCCAATAAAACTCACCATATAATCAACTGGGCTACATTTTTTTAAAAGGAATATATTCGTTTCTTTCTTTTTGCCATGAAAATTGACCGTGAATTATACTGATAAAGAGCAAATCAATAATTGTGTTTCCAAAAAAATTGTAGCTCCCTTTTTATCACCTGGAAGGGAACATTGACATTGCTGGCTTCACTTCCATAGACCTGTCTCCCTTATTCCTAAAAACTCAGATTTTTATGGAAAACAAAATAAACATCTTAATCAACGAAAATCACTGCTTGCGAAAAGACTACTACATCATTTGAATACGGAGCATCAATAGACCTATTGAAACAAACATTAGAGTAAGAAAAGACTGATTATGTCATGCCGCATTTAAGCCTTATTAAGGGACAAAGGCTGATAGCGTCGAGTGGGATACCTGGGCACAATGAGACAAACTAAGTGGAAGGCACAAACATACGTGTACGTTATGTATATTACGTCAATTTGCAAGTAAAGTGATTCATATTGTATTGATCGGCAAATCTGGAAGAACATTCAAAGGATATGATTAAAGCTCTTCAGATGCTCAAAAATTCAAGTCTCATACATGTATACCGGTACATGTATCAATTTTGTCCAAATTATGTTTTCAAAATCTCCAATATGGAATATTTACAATCAAATGGGATACAGTACTAAATTTACTGACTGCTACATGGTTCCATCGTCACTGATCTAAAATGCAGTATTTTTGTGTGTACACATGAATTTTGTGATTTTGTCAGGTCTTTCCTTCAAATTACTGGAACAATTTACATCGAGTGGGGTCCATGACAAGAGTAACAATTAAGATGCTGCTAAGTCATTACAAATGACTGCAGTATCTTTCAATGTACACGTAGTGGTACACATAGTGTAAGTGTTGTTGCTTTTAACTGTTTCATAAGTTAAACTTAATTCTTTAGTACCATTTAGTTTGTAGTTTGGTGGAATACCAAGCTGTAGAAATTAAAGACCTACAATGAACAGTATATGTGATGCGATCAAGCTACCGTACATGAGTGGTTTGTCGACCCTGGTAAATTTTCATTTTTTACAGATTTGAAAAGAACACAATTTCTCAGCATTACTGCTGTGAAAACCGCATGCTGATACCATCTTTAGTTCAAAAATTATGGAATTCAGAACACCAAGAGATGTGATGAAGTGATGTGATGAAGTGGCCCTATTTTGGCCTGTATCTCCAAATAAAAATTCCTGACAAACGACTCATTTAGCTTGATCGTATCACATTACAGTGTATGTACATCTAATCAGATAAGGGAAGGCAATTATTGGGTTCCTCTTCTTTCTACAAGGCCTGTGAATTTCCATTCAAGCTTTTCCGTTCCAATTTCATAACAAGCACACAGTTTTCATGTTTCATAAACAAAGCTTTACATTCCGATGTTTTAACACTCTTGGGTTAGGTTGTACACTCTTGGCTTAGTTGTACAATGTATAATTGTACAAATGTGAATCTTGTACCCTTTGTTGTCAGATGACGGGGACGGGTTCACTTCCTACCACACCCCGACGGTCACGCCGCGCGCCAGTATCTGCAGTGACTCCAGCTACGGTATTTTAGCCGGTAACCTGCCTGCCCTGGAGCTGATGGCCCTCTTCACAGCAGCGGCCATGCACGACTACGACCACCCAGGGCGAACCAACGCTTTCTTGGTTGCGACAAGTGCACCCCAGGTATGTCCTTGTCGTTTAAATATTAGCCAGTGTGATTTAACTCTTTCAGTGCCCTCCAAATTTGAAAAGTTTAACCCGAAAGTGCCCAACCTCGAGCGTTTTTTTTTTTAATTGTTCAAAATTCTGTAAAAAAAAGAAAAAGTAAACAAGTTTTACTCACTAAATTTGTTGTTGTTGCTCTCTGGTGTATCCTTGGTACATCGTGATACATCATGATACACCCTGAAACACTGTCCTGCACACAGGGGAATTCTGCAATTTTTGCAGAAAATACGAGTGTCAGTGCTGTGCCCTCTCGCAAGAACTCGAATGAAACAAATAAATACAGGTCTACCTGAATGAAAATGATATTATTAGAAAGAGCGAGAGCGCCCCCTTGTGATAACATGCTTACTCTACCTCGTACATGTACGAGGTTTGGCGATTTTAAGTACGAACATTACCTCGTACATGTACGAGGTTGGCAGTTTCGAACTAACTAATATACCTCGTACATGTACGACTTTGGCACTGAAAGAGTTAACTGCCTTGCTTGTAAGTGTATTGCCTGAAACCGTCTAAGCACTCAATGTTTGAATGGATTCATCAGAGAATTCATACAATGTAGTACAATGTAGTACAGTTAGAGTTAGAGACAAACTCCAACAAGAGAAGAACTAAGGTTTCCAACTGTGATCATTTATGGTTTCACAAGAAGCTATTCAAAATCACTGGTGATGACAATATTAAATAATGAAGACTTTTGACCCATTTTCTAAAAAAAAAGGAGAAACACAGTATAGTTTCATTGGCAATATGCCATCAAACTTTAAAATGTTGAAGTCAGAGCAAATTGTCAAATTGTAACAACTTTTGTAAATTAAATTGTTTGGATTCAATTTTAGTAATTTCTCAGTAAATGTATTTGTCAAAAAAATACACTTTTCTTTTTGACAGTTTCAATTCTTTGTTAGAATGGGATCGTCTTTTAAAAAGAAATTGATACATAGTTTTATACATTATATTGCATAGTTTTAGTGACAAAATGGGCAATAGGGTTATTTGTTTACTTAACGTATACACCGAGAACAAACAAAAGAAAGTGCATAAGAGAATAGGCCACATTTTTCAGCAACATGGGGAGTAGAAACAGACGAAGATATCAAGCTTTTGCCATAATTCAGAAATCACATTTTTAACAATATGTGATTTTGAGAAGTTGTCATTCGCTGCAATAAACTTTATAAATCCCCTGTTGGTTCCCAGAAAAGGCTACAGCGCCTTCATCTGGTTAAAAAAAAAAAAAAAAAGTCCTGGGTGCGTGCTACTAAATGCAGTTTTGCGTAGGCAAAAAAAGACATTGTGTTGACGTAAAGGAATCACCAATGCCGAAGCCAAGCAGACGTACAGCTAATGGCTAGTTGTTTCTAATTGTAAAGCCTTAATTGGTTTCTGCCACAAGGCCGATATCGAGTACAGTTAAAACCCAATTAACTGGTGTCCTTTAACGATTTCCACCATTAGGTTGGCTGCTACCATTTTCACAAGAGTTAATTATCTTGTGTAGTGCATAAGACCTTTTGTTTGGCATCCACTCAGTGAAAACAAACATGGGCAACGCTTATACTCATAAAGCTGTAATGGTCTAATGCATTTAAACTGATCAATACCGATTAAATGCATTGTAAGATGTTGTATACATGTACATAAAGGTGAATTATAATGTCAACATCGATAAACAATGTTCACAAAAGTTATACGAATTTGTATAGAAAAATCCGGCGGGAGCCATATTCTGCGGTGGCGCAAGGCTCGCGTGAGTCACGCTCAGGTAGTACGCACGCACTCCGGGCTCCTGCGACCAATAGGAATACCAAAATGCTCGTGCGCGCACCTCGTCTTTAAGAACGTGTGCACTCCATGCAGTATGCGCATGAGCGTGACACAACCGCAGTAAAAGCTTCTAATTCTGGTCCCCGGATTCCACTATAATTGTATCGTCAGATTTGGGTATATTTCAAAGGTACATGTAGCATTTGGAATATTTTTAAGAAATTAATGTGAAAATTGAATTTATTTCATTTTGAAATATTTATTTCTGAAATGAGCGAAAAGGCTGATAAAGCTGTAAAAGGCATGATACATGTATTGGCATAATAAAGGTTAATAGAGGCGGCAAAACTTGGGAAAAAAATGTAGCTTGTGTGAGGCTTGCAGAGGTAAGAACAGACATGCAGAAACAAGCAGAAACCATCCAAAATGGTTAACATTGCATCTTGTTCAATACCATCGAGATCAAAAAAGCATTTGCAAACGAGCATCTTGCATCGCACCCGTTTTAAGGGCGTGTTTCAGGAAAATGATTTTTTATTTCATGCATACATGATTCTCGTGGCTTGTTCTTTGGTACTCTCACCAGCAGACATGGGAGCATAATTAAGTGCGTACCCTCCAGCCATGTAGTGACTCATTTTGCATCTTGGTTGTCAGGTTTCAGACCAATTGAACGTCTGAGTGGCCGCAACGAGGCGGCTCGTGTGCATCTTCAGACTAGGGACCAAGTGTAAATATGGCTGTGCTAATAGCAAAGAATTTTTCATTTTTTTTTATCACCATTCTTAGCTTTACATTACCAGCAAAGAAATTATGTACTACCCTTACATGTATGTAAGCCAGAATTGGTCATACGTATTTGAAAGAAATCTTTCTTTCATTAGAAAACATTGAGCGCCATTTTATATGGGCTGGCACAAGCTAGGGCATCATGCCGTGGTTGGCAGCAGATTTTGCCAAATATTGCAAATTAATACCCTGATTATGTAAGAAAGAGGCGTTTTGATTAAGTCTTTGGTAGCGTTTGTTGGTTATTTTGTATTTTCAACAATCCAATGACAATGTTTGGAAACATTAATACCTATTCTTTATATTCACGACGTTGACCTTACGTAGTTTGCCAATCTGTGGTTTGCAAAATGTGCCAACCAATGTTATGACCTGCTCAGCACAGAAAATTACTAAACATAGAAAACAGAATACCAGCCAAAAACATGCAGCGTGTATTGCTTGCCACTGGTTCTCATGCCATTAGGCTAAGCACATAAATTTGCGTACAATTAGCATAAATTGCTATGCAATATTTACTGCTTATCGGCTTATAAAATGGGGCCCAGATACATGTACCTATAAACGCATTTTTCTGTTGGCCCCCACCCTCCACCCCTTCCCCAACCCCATCCTCAGGCAATTCTGTACAACGACCGCTCCGTCTTGGAGAACCACCACGCGGCCTCCTCCTGGAGTCTCCTCATCTCCAAGCCCGAGTACAACTTCCTGTCCTGTCTGGAGGACGCCGAGTTCCGTCGCTTCAGGTTTCTGGTGGTGGAGTTCATCCTGGCCACCGATCTCAAGAGGCATTTTGACTTCCTGGTCGAGTTTAATGCCAAGGTACAGAAAGACCTGTCAACATATGAGAGATTTCATTTCATTTGGTGTATGATGTTTTCGGAGGCTGTTGTTTGGTCGGGCCAGGGGCGTGCATCGATGAACATGTTAACAGGCGCTTTGTGTTATGATGAAATTATTCAAATTTTGCATAGTGAGGTCAGCAGTATGCGCATCTGACAATGAATCTCTTGTGTGAGTTACGTTATTTTGAAGAATCTGTTTAACCACTTAGCACCGAGATTTTTTTGGCCAAAAATTTTGATTTTAGCAAAAGGCAAATTTTTTCAGCCAACTTCTGATATACAGCCAAACTCCACAAATACTGATTCGCAGGAGTCATTTCAACAGTATTTGTACGATATTTCTTGCCGAAACCTCAATACTCGGAGCTTAAATTGTACAACAATAGGCCTTGCACAACGGCCAATTCAAGATCAACACACTTTCCGACTCCACAGACTTCACAGACTTTGTGTGTGTGTACAAAAGGCACGAGGGATTAGCGTGTGTACATGTCACTCGGAGGTGAGTCGAGGCAATCTTGACGTCTTAACCCGTCAGCCGTGCCTGTGTATAAAAACAGCCAGTTAGTGTTATCACGGCTGCCAACGCGAACTGGTTACACTAAAAAAAATTATCAGTTTGCTGTATTCAGTTGACTCTCTAATCAAAAGTCATGGATATTAGAAATGAAAAAGTCATAGTTTTTTGCCACCAAATTTTCTTGTTGATGCTTTACTCTGAAGCATGAAGTACACAGTTTGATCTACATGTATAGACAAAAAAGCCACTTACAGCCAAATTTTCATAGTCATCCCAACATGGATTTAAGTTTCAAGTAAATGTGTGTTACTGCTGTGATGAATGTTCAGTACTTCTCCAAGTGGAGAGTCATGTCTTTTATCTCTGTGGTCGGTATTTGAATCCCATGCAAGTCCACGTATGGATTGCGTTCTCAGTTTCATACTAATTCCATGAATTTTTCCTGGAATATTAGTTACAGCTTCTCTTCAATCTTTGAAACTGAACAATTCTCTTTTCAAAATTGTAAGGTTGGTTGTGCTCCCAAGCTGCAGTGCCTGTGCAGTCTTTAGGGACCCGTGATTTGTTAAAAGGAATTAAGAGGAAAATCAATGATTCACATTTCAGGTCAACGACGTGGATGCGTCGGGCATCAATTGGGCATCTGAGGGTGACCGCCTGTTGGTCAGCCAGATGTGTATCAAGCTGGCCGACATCGCAGGACCAACCAAGACCTTTGACCTTCACTTCTGCTGGACAATGGGCATCTCAGAGGAATTCTATGAACAGGTAAGGTGGATTGAAAGAGCATCCGCTCCGTTCACAAGTACCCCCCTCACCGGCAAAGAAAGTACAGTTGGGGGTGACTGACCGATGCATCTTGCCCGACTGCTATAATTTGCCGCAACGCGCGGCCGTACCACTGCATGTACATAGTACAAATCCCCTGGTGTACGTGCGGCACACACAAGGAACGGTGTGCGTCAACCAGCTAAATGTCCCGCCCATGGGACGGCCGTTGCTAGGTAAAAGGGCGCCCTCTTTCGTTGGCGCACGAAGCCCATACATGTAGTTCTCAACGTAATGAGACCACAGACCCTGTGCACAAGTACCCCCTCAACGGTTACAAAGGGAGATTTGGGGGAGACCACTGGGGGACTCTTGAACGCAATGCTGAAGGCGCCTGATGCTTATGTAGAGATTCGACCGGTTTGTGCAATTACCGTGTGAACCATTACACACATGCAATATATACCCCTCCCACTGAAATTAGATTGAACTAAGCATTAAAGCTACAGTCCATCATGTGCAACTATCCAAAAAGTAACTGACGTAATTAGTGTTGAAAAACACACTTGGTTGAACGATAGTAAGGGGACTAAACTCCCTGTGAAATTATTCTTTCTGGCAAGCTGTCATTTTGAAGAAATCAACAAAAGAAGGCCTTTCCAACGGTACGTTTTAAGATGCACCGTTGGAAATTTCTGTTAGTGTTTCATTTTTGTATTCGGCGAAGCGCGCGCAAGCGTTGACAAGATGCACACGTGCGAGCAGTTGCTACAATTCATAGGATCGGTGCGCGACTTCGCGTAACTGCAATCGGCTCAGTGAGAACATGCCTCGGGGGCTGAATTCAGGCCCAATTCAAAACAGGATTCAGCAACTTTTGATTTGAAAACGAGATCCTAGAATGCTGTTTTTCTCGAAATACAGTTGAAGCTGAAATTTCATCAAGTTAGTTGTTCAGCACCCTTCTTTAGATTTTGAGCATGTTTGTTGCTTCAAACGAACAAAATGCACAAATTACAAATGATGGGCTGTACCTTTTAAGTCTTTACCAGCTTACGAAATTTGATAACAATGAGTCATCACATTTCTGAGATAAGAAAGGGGGAACCCCAAGCTATGAGATGACCCAAATCCCAGCTGCCGTAGGGTTAAAAGTGGATCATCTTTTCCTTGAGTAATATGACTTGAGCTTGGTTTGGGATCAGTGAAAGTGATTCACATTCATCTACTGTTTTCTGTTCATAGGGTGACGATGAGAGGAAGCTTGGCCTACCAGTCTCCCCTTACATGGACCGAGGGGCTCCCCAGCTGGCTAAGCTTCAAGAAGGCTTTATCAACCACCTTGTCGCACCGCTCTGCAATGCATACGGCTCGGCCGGCCTACTGCCGGGGAGATGGCTGGATGAGGACGAAAATGAAGGTATTGATTCATGCACACTATAATTTGCAATCTCCACAGGGAGTTAAAGGGAATGTACAACATTTGCTTTTGCTGTATTTTCAGAAATAAAATGGATTAGTATGTTATGGCAAATATTGTTCAACTGACTTGTTTCACGTTTTGGGCTTGTAGATGCTGGAAAAACCAAGAAAACCAATCATGTTCTTGTAGTCTGGTTCCCTGACCCCACTTAAGATGAAACGGAGCAATTTATAGACTTTGGGGAATTAAGGTCAGAGAATCGGTCTAGCAGGCTTGTACCCCTTAAGAAAATGCGGAATAACTAAATATGAAAAATTAGGAGCAGTTTTTTTAAAAATGCCAGTTTTCTCCAACGCTGGTCGGCCGACCAGCGTTGGAAAAATACCATTTTTCTTGAAAATTTCAGCTCACCAAGAGCCACGATTTTACAGGATGCTTTAGACTGTCCTTCCCTACAATCCAGTAGGTATTTCGTGATAATTTGATCATTTCATTTTGTGATGTTTGCAAATGTTGTATCTTCCCTTTAATTCAATACTGTTTTTTCCTTCACAAACGGAATTTTATAAGCACTGTAAACTAATTAGTGCTATGAGATAAGCTTAGTTGGGTTGGACTCCAATCCACAGCCTCCTGCATAAAGGTAGGGTGAAGATCATTTGTCGTTTGTGCATTTTTTTCGTTTGAAGCAACAAAATAGCTCAAAATCTAAAAACGAAGGTTTAGCTCTGTGAATGCTGTATATTCTGCGAAAACAGTATTCAAGGATCTCGGATGGGACATAAAGCCGTAGGTCCCGTGCGTTGTGTAATACAATGCACTTAAAGAACTCAGTAACACTTATCGCTAAGTGAAGGGGTTTGCCCGCGGCTGGTGTTTCTGGCCTCCCCTGCGGAGTATTTAGGAGAAGAACCAACCAAGTACCACGTGACCATACCTCTTGATTGAATTTACTTTTACGAAAACCCTCCTACCGGTACTTGTCTGCCAAGTTGGTTTTTCATTTTAAGGCCAAGAACATTTCTATTCCGTAGATATTGTAAGCAGTTATCACCGATCATTCACGTAGCAACGGGAAAAAAAAGAGGAAATGTTGATGCTTTATTATTCCACTGGTGGCAGCTTCAAAGAAAAGTTCAAAGATTCTATATCCCCCCTTTTTTTCGAGGGAGAAAGGGGTTTAAAGTCCCCTAGGCAGCCCTCGGAATTCCGTCACTATGTATGGTGGGTTTCCTTGATGTCAAAATATGACTGGTTGATTTTCAGATGAGAAAGAAGATAAGAGTGAAGAGACTGCCCTCCCTCTGCCTCAACAAGAGATCAAGGAAGAAGAGGACGACATAGAAGAAGAAGACACATCCAGTGAAGGGGGACCAAGTAAGTATTTCACTGGTACCTGACTTCCTGAAACTTATGCTTGTCCTATCCAAAGGCACTGGTAACCGCTAATCTCATTTCACAAAATTGTGTGAAGGAAATGGAGACTTTGCAAAGCATTCTGGGTAGCTTAGCACCTTTAATCAATGGGTGTACATTTCATGTGTACATGTTGTACACATACGTGATGTTGCTGGGTCACTGGTGTAAATCTGTCCAATGAGGATTCCAAGAAATTAGAGGTCAACTTTGCCCTTGGATAGGGGGTTTAGTACAAGCAGACTGACAAAATGGGGTACTTTTAAAGTGCACTCTTCAGGCTTTTTCCGTGCAAGGTTGGAAGCCTACTTTGTGTAATAACTACTAGAGAAGTTTGCACAAGTAAAGTTTAGCCTAGCGAAAACAGCCTACCATTACAGTCCTCTTTATACCTCACTGACTGACTGACTGACTGACTCACCTTCAAACACCTTCAATCGTGGACCCCCTATTGTCCCTCTTTTGTTTGTACTTCAACTTTTTAGGAAGACCTCCCATATGTTTTATACATGATCGTCAATCGAGGACCCTCGGTCAATTCGTGGACCCTATTGTCCTCTATTGTTCAACGTCCACATTTTGTATGTGTAAACAAGTACACTATCACTTGTTAGACTTGCTGAAGTCTCTCCTTGGTCCAAAAATTTGAAAAAAACATGACCCTATTATGTCAATGAATGGGCTAAATCTGGCCCATTGTGTAGGCCACATGCATGAAAGGCTTCAAGTGAATAGCTGTTCTTAATCGATTGAATAGAATTTTGTACACTCTGGGACCAGCTTTGCTAGGCTTGTCTTGTCTTGTCTTGTTCAGGACTCATACAGGCTCCTTGAAGGAGTTAGGATAAATGCCAATTTGTTTGTGATGGTAAATGGATGCAAATTTTTGTCCGTCGCAGTGGAGTCCAAGCTAAGACTAAAGAGCGCCAAGACCAAGCAGCGCAAGATGGTCAGCATCCTGACCAAGCATCTCAAGGAGAACCACGACCACTGGATCAAAGTCCTAAAGGAGGAGGACGACACAAAGAGGCGGGAGGAGAAGAAAGACGGCAAAGATGACGGGGGCGGGATGGCCCCGATCCGGGAAGACTCAGAGGAGCGCAACTCGGACGACAAAGGAGACGAGGAGGAGCAAGAGGAGGAGCAACGGGTGAAGGAGCCGGCGGAGAGACCCAAGGGGACAACGGAACGCAGGAAGAGCCAAGAGGAACTCAGAGCCTCCAAGATCAAGCACAGGGTCAGCTCAGACGAGGAGCAGGATAGATGAGAGTAGGTTAAGAGAGGTACCGGTAAGATAGCATCTGAGACATCGCCCATTGGTGCGTAGCTACAGCCCAGGAATATCTGCTATTCGTAATTTTTGTTTTTGGCATATTCAGGATTCAACATGACGGTAGAATTTTGTAATCCGTTTGCTGCAGTGGAATAGTTTTATTGTTACATGTAAATATCAAATGTGGTGCAGCTGTGCTATCCAAGCTGTGGATGGTTCTGCCAAGAAAAGTTGCAAGCATCACTACATGAACTGCGCAACTAAACAGCAGAGGAATGTAACTGTGGACCTGCTTCCACAATTTTGGGTTTTTAAAAAGTTGCAGCAAAGTGCCAAAAAAGACACAGACGGAAAGCCCACCATTAGTCTCAGACTCTTGTCTCGGTATGAAGTTTTACTTGAGGCCGTTCAGGAACAAAACTGTCCTGAAATTAGTTGGGTGGATCTTGCACTGTTTTGATCGGATTGAAAGGTTATGAATCTGGTGTACTACTGTACCTTGGCCAATGAGGGTGGTGTAGCGGTTGTACCCCACCTTCCATATCTGATAACCTGGTTCAATTCCTGCCAGAGTCTCTTTGTGGATTGTTTTGATGTCCTTACCCGACTTTCCGGGTCAGACCTGGACATTTGTTCTCCAGGTTTTCGCTCCCACTTCAAAACTGAAATTTCTTTTTTGCCCCTTAGCTTGGACTTGAGGTGCTAAAGCGCTTATCAGGTTTAATAAGAAACATATAAGTAAACTTTGCGATGGTCTAACCATTTTTGTTTTGCGAAAAGGAGAAAACCTGAAACTTGCACGAAGCAATTGCAAGCCTGTATCAAATGGTATTGTGTAAAATAAAACAAATGTTTGTTACATGGTTAAGTGTTAACCAGGATCGACCCAAGATTTGGTCAGTGGCATGCCTAGCTTGGTGCTGGTTAAACATGTGTATATTAAAACCTGGTTAAAGTGATAATTAATGCTAGTGAGGATCTCTAACCGTTTAGTTAGCTACTTCTTACAAACTTAAAGATAACATGCAAGAAATGGTGTGGTATTGAAATGATGGTCTTTGTCACTGTGAGTGCTATAAAGGAAAAACAACATACAGTATTTGTAAAAAAAAAAAAAAAAAATGCGTGCAAGAAACAATATAACCTTGTGTGCTTATCAACGCAAAACTGCCCACTAAACAGAAAAATGGTCAACTACTAACTAAAATAGTAAGTCATTGGGCATTGTATAAAGAATGAGTTAGTGTCTATGTGAACGTATATGTATATATCTCAAGAATAACATAAAGCGAAAACATTTATTATCATAGTTTTTTAAGTTGTTATTTTAACACAAATAGTGCTGCAAAGTTTATCACTGAAGATAGTTTTTATTAAGCGGGCCTTAATTGTTTGACATTTGTATCATAATTAAACGGGAACTATGTTCAGCACGAATGCACTGTTAATATTTTAGACTTTTAGAAAGTGTTTGGAATTGCATGAAAACATTGTAGTTGAGTGGAGCTTCTAAAAGATTACAAGATTGGCCTAAATAATAAGGTACATTGTAGATGCTAACCACTATTTTCTTTTATTTAGTAAAAAAAATCAACATAATTATATAGAGATATATTTATATAGACAGTTATATAATATATCTCAAAGATGAGTCCAAACGGTTTTTAAAATATTATTGAAATTTCTTCTTTTCACAGCAGCTTGATTTTTTGTTTTTATTTCAAGAAACCGGTTTGACCTCCAACTTATAAAATATATGAAGTATATATTAAAATATATATCAATGAATATTGGAGAAAAAAAATCCATGTGAGGTCATAAGATTCAAGACAAGAAGCTATTAAGATGTTATCTTACATTCTATTAAAATTTTATTTTTTACTACAGCAGTCAGTGTGCTAAGGGAACGTCTTAAAAGTTGGAATGTTCCCGCTCCGTATGGAACGTTCCTTTAGGAACACTGTGTGTTCCCATCGGGAATGCCTTGTGTTCCCAGCGTGTTCCCAACTCAGTGGAACAGGCCATTCCCGAGTAAGTGTCCACGTGTATAGACCAATGTTCTCACGCGGGAACACCTGGCATTCCCGGGCTGTTCCCCGTGGGAACAACGCATGTTCCCAATTGGAACAGGCGATGTTCCCCGTTGGAACGTTCCAAGCATTCTGACTTTTTGAGACTTTCCCTAGTTTGGTTGCCATGGGCATTGCATGTTTTGACTTTGTTAGGCCTAAGAGTTTCGAGGGAGTCGGCAGTAAAAATGGAAGACACCGTGCACCATACCTCTGCCAACAAAGAGACAGAATATGCATGCATGAGGCGTTGGAATCACAAATATGACACCAAAAAGTATTTGGGAGTACAGGGTATATTGAGTCTTAAAAAATAAATAATAAAAGAAAGAAAATGCGCAGTGCTGACTGTAAAATGCATTTTTCACATCCGAGTCAATTTAGCCATTCTTGTTTCAGTGGTGTGCATTTATGGGTAGTAAGAGAAACTGGGTACCCTATTGAGGTAAAACATGGGTACCCAGGTACCCATAAAAGAAACACAGGTACCCGGGTACCCATAAAAGAAACATGGGTACCCGGGTACCCATAAAAGAAACATGGGTACCCATAAAAGAAACACAAGAACCCGGTAACCCATAAAAGAAACAAAGGTACCCGGATACCCATAAAAGAAACATGGGTACCCGGGTACCCATAAAAGAAACATGGGTACCCAGGTACCCATAAAAGAAACACAGGTACCAGGATACCCATAAAAGAAACACAGGTACCAGGGTACCCATTCAAGAAACTCAATCCATTAGAATGCAAATAAAAAGTTTTTTTTTGTTTTTTAGCCTGGTTTTCATTTTGAAAATTCCCCCCAAAATCGCATTCGAAACCTTTCTATTTCATTGTCGTAGAAGTAATTAAGTAATTTGTAAAGTTGGTTATGAGTACCCGATCCCATATTCTGGAACCGGTTCCTGACATCAGCGGTCGGGTACTTGGGTACCCGGTTCCGATGTACAGCCCTATCTGGTTTAGGTTACATTAGGGTGTTGGGACAACCATTTTAGTCTTTTGAGAGTGACTTTTTTGGCCTGAGAAAACCCAAAACACCCTGATTTCGATAGGGTTAAAGTGTGAATTCCCAATCTTTTAAAAAAACATTTTTGCCATACTGAGTAGGCTCTGGCAGCATAATGAAATTGGGTAAAACGCCTGTCAGTGTGTTTGACTGGTTTTATCTGTGCACCATGGATTGACTGAACAAAATCAGATGTGAACCAGTCAAAGCAATGTACATAATCAAGGCATTTTGGCTGGTGACATTTTCTTCTGCTCAAAATGATTGTCTGTAGTAGTATTTGAGTGATTTCCCCTCAACCTGCAGCTAAAATATTGAATTCCAACTCCCCCTCAGTGCACCAGATTAAAAAAAAATATTATAAATGATAACGTTTATTTGCAAATAGTGCATTTGTTGTGGTGCTATGTATACCTAGATGGTTTTTGAGTTTAAAATGCATTTTAGTACACCTGAAAAACATAGGGATTATTTAACTAAAATGTTTTGTTTACAAAGATCAGTTTTCAGATGTTTTTAATGTCATGTTAAGAAATACAAAAACACACATTTTTAATTGCAGTCCTTTGTGAAATACAAAAAAAAATCCTGGTTGTATATCATCACGAGGTTTTCGTAAGGCAATGAGTCTCAAATCAGGTTACTTCATTGAAACGTTAAAAAAGGTATTCCTTTGTCATGTTTCATTTCCTGTGATGTAATTTGGGAATGGGTACGCTTTTAAGCTTGAAACAAACTGTGACAGTCAACTGTATCAGAATTGATGGGGAACAAAATTAGCCGATATCAGAAAATAAAATATCTGGAAAGGTTTTTCATTGTTTTATCAATATTTTATGAAGTTTCCAATTGATTTGAAATTAATTCCAATTATTAAGGATTTGGAATTCTTGGAACTTAAACCAAGTGTATAACATGTTTTTTATCATTTGGAATTTTGTCCATATTAAAATCATGACAAAACTGAATGGGGTACAGACTTTTTTCCCCCAATTAAAGGCGAACAAAAATTATCATGAATTTTGTAGGTATGATAAAATTATTATAAAAAAAAAAACGTTCAGTCAAAGAAGTATTGGAAATACACTAACTTCCATTTTAAAGAAAACGTAAACGTATCTCTCTCTTAAATGATAATAATTTGAAGAGAAACAGTGCTTTCGGTTGTGTTCATAGTTTCTTTTTATATCGTTTGTTAATTTACCTGTTTTAGAAATGAAGCGAAACAAAATATATTCTTGTGCTCCCTACAAGGTAGAAATACTTTGTATTGTGACTGGAGGGTTAATTTGTTCAACCCTCGCTGGAAATTGTAAAACTGTTATTTGAACATTGTATTTTGAACAAAAATTGTTGCACGATCTGTTTAAATTAAATTATTGAGCTAACCAGATTAGGTCATAGTGTTCAAATTGCATTTAGTATGTAGTCATTCTGACAAGGAACATATTTTAATATTCGATGCGATTACTCAAAAGTAACTTATTTTTCTGTATAACCTGCTGGACAGTAAATAATTTATTACTTTTTCCCCGACTTGAATTCAGTTTTAAAAAAGGAGTGCATGGGACATTGATAGATTATACTGATATTATTAATTTTTTTGTATAAAAATATACTGATGTTAAAAAATGTTTTACAGGAAAATTCTAACTTTGCGTGCTTTCAGTTTAAAAAAAAGACCGCTTAGGCTAATGTTCTGCAAAAAATACTGTCCAACTTTGATTTCGCAAATCTGAAACAAACACACAGTCTGTGAATAGACCTTCTGCGTAGCAGCCATCTTAGAGGGCAGTGCCTTTGTTTGCTGGTATATGCATGAGTGAACCATTTGTGCATTCATTGAGTTAAAGATATAGTCCATCATTTGTAATTTGTGCATTTTGTTCGTTTGAAGCAACAAAAGTGTTCAAAATCTAATGAAGGATACTGAACAACTAACCTGATGAAGTTTCAGCTAAGCTTCAGCTGTATATTCCGAGAAAAACAGCATTCTAGGATCTCATTTTCAAATCAAAAGTTGCTGAATCAAGTTTTGAATTGGGCCTGAATTCAGCGTCCGAGACACGTTCTCACTGAGCCGATTGTAGCTATACGCGATGTCCCGCACTGATCTGACGAATTATAGCAAACCGCACGCACGTGTGCGTCGTGCCAATGCTTGTGCGCGCTTCGCCAAATAACAAAACGAACTACTAATTTAAATTTTCCTACAGTGCGTCTTAAGACGCACCGTTGGAAAGGCCTTCTTTCGTTGATAACTTCAAAATGACAGCTTGCCAGAAAGAATAATTTCACAGGGAGTTTTTCTCTCCCTTACTATCTTTCAACCAAGTATGTTTTTCAACAATAATTACACCAGTTACTTTTTGGATAGCTGCAAATGATGGACTCTGGCTTTAATGTAACAAAAGATGACCGCCTAAGATGGCTGCTATGCACAAGTTCTATTGACACAGAGAATTTGTTACATTCTTTGGTTCACAAAATTCTAATCTGTCCTGTCAAAGAATTGTAAGATTCAAGGCAGTTACGAAACTTGCTGGACATGTTGTGAACTTTTACCGCTCAAAGTATTCAGTGAAATTCTCTTCATAAAAACCGGTGGCCACTTCAGTTCTTGTGCCATATTTTGTTGTCCATGGACGTCTAAGATCATGTATATTTTACTATTTATTTATTATGTTGTACGTACCTTTGTACATTCAGGAATCTTCTGTACATAGGCATAACAATTGTGACTTCTGCAAATGTACTGTGGTTATGAGCTTTCTTTAAATGCAAAATTTGTATTACTTTTTTTTTAATTTATTCTTATTGATACACAGGCCATTGTGTTCTGTCATATTACAATATCTTTCGGAAGTCAGTGCATAGAGCCATATTCATTGATGTTAAACTGGAAATTGTTAGCTATTTGTTTATTGGAAATAATCCAAAATTTCCTTAAGTTCTACGAGAAACTTATTCATTACTTCAAATCTGTATTCCTTGTTACAGGTCTGCGGTCCATGCATTGACTCGATATATCAACATGTTTCGACTGCAAAGCCTGATCCTTTTGGGTGTGCCGTAAATCAATTGGTGTCGGACGTTTCATCCCAAATCTGTGTTTATCAGTTCATATTTCAAGTTATGTAAAACCTGTTCAAATAGGCAGCCCCTACCTATATCTGCTGTGGTTTTGTATGGGGATTTATGTCAAGTAATCTTGCTTTGTATAAATACCTTTTTCCCGTTTGTTATAGAACCCTTTGCTCTTGCAGTATTACATTGGCGCAATAGTGTACATAGTCAATCCCAATATTAACAGAAACGCCACCAAAACACCCGGGTTAACTACCACATGCACATATTTTTATGATGTAAATAAAGTCCAAGTAGTTTGTATATTACATTGTAAATTGGCTTTTTTTCTTAGGTTATGGTGATTTGTCAATAATAGTAAACAACAAAATTCAAGGGTTGCATTATCCACCCCATTTTCAACATGGGGCATCTAGGGTAACGATAAACTACATCAACTCGTGTCAAAGGTCATGATAAAGACAGTTTACGATATATCATGGACGTAGGAAAAGATGTGTAGATTATTTTCGATTCGTAAAGTTGACTTTTAATGGCAAACGGATTTAATTTCATTTGCATGACTGTGTGCGCAATATGGAGAAACTATTAAAACTAAAAACGGAATCAACAATAGAATCTGTGTGGTGAGAGTTGTTATTAAACTGTATTAAGGCGTGATCAGTAGGCACTTTTAAAGGGGTTGTGCAAAGTTTTTTTAAAATATACTCACGGTCATAAAACGAAAATAGGAGGCATCAAGTATTCCTTTCCAAAACGGCAAAGTCTTGTTGTAACCCCGCATTCAAGTCATATTATATTTGTACATACTGTCTATTAATAGAGGGAACTAGGTACTCAATATTTAGGCATTAAACCAGTATATTCCTATACAAAACAGAAAGTTGTGTTTAATGTGCAGTGAAAGTCCACTGTAAACCTGCCTGACCATGAACAAAAGCAACACACTCGTTGTGCGGATGATAACTCAAGAAATACCGGTTGTATTGATATGAAACTGCGCTATAAAAGTAGTACTCTATGTATTACCTTTAAAAAAATTCAAACTCTAGACGAACCGGACCATGATCATTTGGTTAAAACAATTTTACTAAAAAGACAGTAAGCAGCTGTGTCTATTAATATTTGATGACCTTTCATTTAATCTAACTCAACAAAGATCATAAAATGCTGTTCGTTGTGCTACGCATACATCTAACTAAGCTGTACATTGCTGTAGAAGCATTAAAAGGCAGTTTTTACCGGTATTGTATGGACTCCTGTCAAATCTGGTCTCATTTTACCTTATATGGACTCGTCACCCTCACATGTGACCAGTCATTGTCCTACTTAGCATGCGCAATGCATTGTACCACCAACGAGTCCATATTTCATAGAAGTCCACATTTCATACCACACAGGGACAGAGTGCTCATTTAGCTCTGAAATTGCAATTTGATTTCACTTGATTTGACGACCAAAATCAAATGATGATTCACCTGTATGGGACACAGAAAGAACTGCTCAATTACCGTGTATAAAGTGTACACATATTCAGCATGTATACACATAGCAAGTTTACATAAAAATGGCGACTCCTTGAACACAGACCACCCTCTTAAGGCCGAATGATTTCAAAGCGTACAAAAACAGTGGAACGTCGCTATTCTGAACACCGCTACCAAACATTCGGCTCTACCGAACATCGTCCTTGGCTCTTGATTTTTGTGTACAAAATGTGCCAAATATTGCTGTTGGGAAAAGAAAAGTGGCTATTATTTTCCCAAGGAACAGAAGGGGAAAGCCACCCATTGTTGTAGGTACCAGTAGTACGCTCGCAATCTGTGCAATTACATTATTTAATAGTCGGCATGTGTTCAAAGTCATCTTTTAGTAACTAGAAGTACTAGGGCGTGCAGGGTGAAGTTTTGAAGGGCGCTTTTCACTGAAAAGTGAGTACCGGAGCACCGGCAGCTTCATATTGCTATACCGAACGATCGCTATTACAAACAATTTCTGTGGATCCCGCGATGTTCGTTATAGCGGCGTTCCACTGTATAAGTCACACAATTTTTAAGGAAAATTTAAATTGAATGCACTTCAATTTGCTAAATACATTCCATAATATATACAAATTTAAAATTAACAGAAAGTAAATAAATGATAAAACAGCAATTAAAAAAAATTAGCCCAAAATCTTGAATGAGAAATAGTTGATTGAAACAGACATAGAACTTCACTTAATTCTACAAAAGGTGGATTTTAAGTAAACTTCTTTTGTAGTACCCAGTACTACGTTATAATCAAGGTTTTTACTAATTAATAAGGCCATATTAGAATACTTGTGTGCATTAAAAATGTACACTAAACTACATGTATATATAGTCACAAATAAAGTGATATTTTGAAATGTCTGGAGTTATTGCCTAGGCCCAGGCCTTTGACAAGTACAATTACAGCGTGTGTCAATAAAAATGTAGCAGTCAATCTATAAATATTAAAAATACTAGCACTCCATTTTTGCAAAACTTATCTATGGGTTCCGTTCACAAGTACCCCATCAACAGCCAGAAAAGGAGAGTTGGGGGTGACCTAGATTGGTTCCTGATCCATCCACTATGTATTTCGAATGTATCCAAAGTTATAGAGGTGGGAATTAGTCTCGGAGACCATCACAAGTTGTATTTGAACATATTCGCGCGTCGACAGCGCCCGACGCTCACGCGAAGATGCGATGGCTATAGCTTTTGCACGTTCAGGAAGTCGTGCAGACTTCCCGCGCGCGAACCAGTACAGTACAGTAAGCCCACGCTGTGTGTCCCGTACACTGAGCTCTCAAAAGAGGGAAAAATGCGCCCTCTTTGTTGGCGCACGGAGCCCATAGAGTCTGAAGGTGTAGTAAATACTCTACACAATGGTCTTTATCCCGTCTCATTTACACACCCCAGAACAGAGATACAGCTAGAGGACCAGCCTATAGTTCTCTTTGCACCTATCTCACAGACTGACTCACTGTCACTCATGAGCAGGGCAGTGCTATCATATAGGAGTATCTCGTAACGCCAATGAATGGGTTACGTCCGCCCATTGTGTAGAGCAGATACATGAAAAGACTTCCACTGAATAGCCATTCTGAACATAATCAAATTGATTAGAATAGAATTTGAATA